AATTATATGTTTATGCAGTTTAAAGAAATATTAAGGATGATAATCAGAATCTTTGAGTGGTTGTATAACAATATTTTTAATTAAAAAATGGTAACATTATAAAATTTTTTCAAATTTTGGTAAGTAATTCGAATTTGTGTAACTCATCAAATATAAATGCCTTTTGTACTAACGTATCATTTGTCTATAATAATTCATTCATTTCGATTAAATGATGAAAGTCAAAAATAGAACTAAATATAATGGCTAGCTCTTCATTACATATAAATAATTCCTTTATTATTAATAATAATTTGTTCGATACACATAATACATAACTATCATCTTACTATCTCGATTTTGCATTGTACAGTCTTTAACATTGCTTTTAACTTATAGTCAATTGATTACTTCGATATCAAGTAACATATAAGAATTATTATTATTTTTAATTTACTAAATTTATATATTTATCTATATTTATATATTATATTGAATACAAAAATCTTAGTAAAGTATTCATGCTTATGACATTGAAGATAATTTGATCTACAATCTCTATTGAATACTCGGGACTAAATCACATAATCATGCACTATCTATCTAACTGCTCCCGATTGTTAACGTTGAGAATCAATATGATATACAATTACTGTAAAACAGAGATTTTACAATTATTATAAAATAGCAATTGATTACTTCTTGTAAATGAATATTGAGTATATTTATAACTATTAAAACGTGGATTATTCCACGAAAGTAGGATGGGCTTATTAGATAATTGAAATTTAATGATCGATTGTCTTTACCTTTGTTATACAATTTGTTCTCATATTTAAATCAATTTTTCCATTCTGTTAGATTTTACCTATGATCAATAAATTTTTATGTATCTATGCGCATTAAAATGATTCACAAGTTATACATTTTTTCTTAGTTTCTCTTAGTTACAAATATAAATAACTATCAACTGACAAAGTTGGACTATCATTAGAAGTCGATATTAATCACTGGAAATTACAAAAAGCATTTATCAAATCCAGACTAAGAAGGAAGTCCATCCATTGAATACCTATCATATTTTTTGGTACACAGCGGAAACTTTTTGGTCAACTATACATCAACGTACTTTTATCTACTTAAATTGTCTCATTTGTAAATGTATTTATAAATCAACGTTCAATAATTATCGATAACTTAATCATTTCGTTTTTTTTTCATGCTCTTTCTTAATAAATTTTCGTCTCGTACTTATATTCCTACTAATACGAATTTGCAAATTCGGATGAAATCGACAAGATTCTCTTTAAGAATCCTCAGGAAAGGAATGACACGATTCCGGAAAGATTCGTTCCGTTGCATGCAACGAGAATCGAAAACGCGCGAGAAGGCTACTATCGATCTTAGACAGTTGTCTCGTCTAAGATCGATCGAAAATTCTAGGTATTGGTAGTGTCGTAACTCTTGTACGTGTGAGATGATCTCTTATGCCTGACTGTGCAGAAGAGAATCATGCTGGCCACCTGGCCGAATAGTTGAAGAAAAGCCACGACGAGGCCCACCGTGCCGACCACATGGAGTCTAGTTACCAGCCACATTTGAATGGCAGTCGCGCATCCTTCCTTATACCAGAGTTCCTTGTTACGACCTTCTGAATCTAGGCGACCGCAATATCTTTCCCGCTGCATGCAGCAAGAATCTGGAACCCGATCCTCCTCCGGCCACGCTTCGATTTGGAACCAATCCGTATAATCGCGTACTCCACAGCAGTGAAACTGCAAGCGTACATTTAAAACTGTATCATCATATTAAGACTTTATTTAAGTTATTATTCTTATTCTTTGTCTCTACACTGGAGAGACTGCACTCAAAATTATCTCTCTTACTTTTATCAAATGTCATATATATATATATTTGTTTTGTTTTACATGCAATCAATATACATATATTAGTTTAGCCACAAAAAAAAAACAAGATTTTAATTTCCAATACGGAACAGTTCATCTTTTAACTACGCGAAAAAATTTCTTTAAAAAAAGTTTCTTTAAAATAAATTAAGGAAATTCAGAAATCTGTAACACTTCGTGTGATGTTTTGCAAATATTAATTAAATAATTAAACAAACCTCGGTATGTATATGGTCCCACATGGCAGAAAGTGTTCCCGGCTCCCTTGTAATATTATAATGCTTCTCAATGCCGTACAATAGCTCCTCCTTCAAGCTCCTCGCGAGGTGTTCTCTGAACACAAACGCCAAGGTGCCCAGCATGAACTCGGCGAGAAACATGAGTATTACTAGACTGAAATACTGAAAATTACAGGAAGTGTCAACGTTCTCTCTTCCTATTATTAATAATATGAGACATCTCTTTACAAGTTTTGAGATTTTCAAAAGCCTTTTAATTATTCTAATACTTATTTCTTTCACCAAGAGAAAACAAGAACTGGGAGCGAGAAAAAAGATCTCATATTCTATGTAATTATTACTATACACGCAAGGTGTCATATAATATGCAAACAAATTTATCGATCCGTCACATATTGCGTTATATACTACACGAATTCTATGTGTATAAACTGTGTTGTACAATGAAAAGAATATTTTGTTTCTCTTTCTCTCTCTCGCTTAGCAGACAGATTTATCTTAACGTCAGCTAAGAATGAGCAAAACAAACGAGGAAAAAAGATAATTTTTTTTAAATGTAGTTAGCATGGACAGCATGCGTATTGCTCTGTGACAAATTATTCAAATGACAACAGAAATTCAAATCACGATCTACTGACGACAAAGATATTCAAGATTGTCAAGTTATAAACTTCAATCCGTGCGCCGCATATGTATATGTAGTATATTGCGTGCGTATCACAAAAAGTCCATAAGTATACCATGCGTGCTTTTTGCAAGGCACGTGTTTTACAATGGATCACGTTGTACTAACCGTGATCAGCATGCATCTTGACTGGAACCATGCGCCACAACATCCGAAGAAGGCGATGACGAATGTGATGCATCCCGCGGCGAGCAGTAGCGAATCCGCCGACACGAAGCTGTACTGCGGTACCAAGGTCGCGTATCCGGAGTAAGCCAGTCGTAGCCAAAGGCCCGCACCCAAAATTCCGCAAGCGCATAACTGTAAAACAAATTACTCGCGTCAATTACTCTGCACGTCATAAACGTTTGACTTTCGACGTATTTAAAACGTACGCGAATCCATTAAAATTGAAATTATTATATTATATATAGGCAGGGAAATACGTAGTACAATCGGGAAGAGAGTGTTACTTAAACTAAGAGAAATAAAAGAATAAATTTTTTTAACAAGATTTTTTTTAGAAAAAATTCTGAATTTATTATCCTAATCATTAGAAGTGTCCAATGGTCGTTATTGACCGTTTTAGTTTTTAGATCTAAATTTTATTTCTTGTGTAAAAGATAAGCGTTTATATATAGAAATTTTTTGACTTTCCGATTATATTTTTTACATTGATGAAATATTTAGTTTTTCATTTTCTTTATTTTCATAGTAATTTGTTCACTTCATTCCTTTAATGAGTGAGAAACATTGGCACTTCAAGTGTTAAAAGAAAAGTGTTAAGAAAAGTGTTAAGAAAAATTATTCTTTTACATTAAAAAAATTAAAGAGATAAAATATGTTAGAAGCAATCCATTTTAATTACATTTGCAGAATTCAACTTTATGTACAACAAAATGACCAACCATTTCAACAATATCGCAATTAAGTAAGAAATAAATGTATAAGAAATCAAATTAATCTTTGTCTTATATAATTCACTCATGTATCTTATGGAACTGAATTATTATAGTTAATCCTAATAGTAAAAAAAAATCAGATTGTGTAGCAAAAATTATTACGTCAAATATCATTCAAGTGCACATGCGTAACTTTCAAGTTCTTTTTTTCAAAAAACATCTTATGCAAAAAAATTATTCTATCATTTTGATTAATTTTAAACCAAATCATTTCCTTTCCGTTATCATATATTTTAGTTAACTTTGTATAGTATGATTGTATATAGATAAATAATTACATTGAGTATTTCAAATTACTGAACTTTCTTTCAATCATAGCTTTCACGGTCTTTTATTGTGAAAATATTTTGATTCGGTTAAGAAATCTGTAGCGAAATCGATTTTTGGAACATTATATTTACAAATAAATATATGTTATTTATTGGCAAAAGATATTTTCATTCGAGAATTTAATATATTTATAAATAATTAAAATATTTAAAAAAATTTACAGCTGCCCAATTTATCCAGCTGATAATTATAACAAACTGTCTCATATGTAGATGGATATAAATTGTTACAAGTACTTTTAATATTTTCGATTGAATTTTAGATTGAATGGATATAAATTGTTACAAGTACTTTTAATTAATGTGAGATAAATAAATTATAATTTTAATAAATATTTATAATATAGATGTTAGGCTTTTGATAAAGATCTTTGCGATATTTATCCGATTTATATACGTTAGTTACCAAAAAGTTATCACATAAAAAAACGTAATTAGTCTCAGGTCTCCCCTGCTGAAAGCTCTAGAAAATATTTTATATTATAATTAATAACAATAAAATTATAATTAAAAGCATCGAGAGATCCTCATCACACACCACTCATAGCACGTGAGTTCATTGGGTCAATGATGCGTTATTTTCATTCGACTATTGTCGATAATATATGCTCGATAACAAAGCTATCTCAAATTCTCGTTTATGCTGCGTTTAAATAAAATCGGAAAGTGGAAAGTGGACCGTGGATTAGAAAGTATCGTGATGCATTTTGAATCGTCGACGCGGAAGGAAAATTGATGCCTATGGTTGACAGCCATCGCGAAATTCATTTAACTCACAGCCAATGCGCCAATGAACGTGTGACGAGTGAATGGCAAAATCACACCATGACATTTCTCGCATTCGCAATAAAAATTAAAATAATAGCGAAACTGTACAACGCTATTTCACTAAGCAGCAAAGTGTATCGGATGTCGATGCGGTCACCCGTATACATTTAACGGTTTATCGTCCATTTGCTAACTTATTCGCAAACACAGAGACTTGTCTACACAGCCTATGTACGTAAGAGAGTACTGCAGATTTTCTGGTCGACGGTTGCCTTGTTGTGCTATCAATGACAGGAAGTCATTCAATCGACTGAAACGGTGACTAGGTGAATGTTGACCTTACGAGATTCATCCACTAAGTATATTCGACACGTGATAGCAACGTCCTTCCTTATAAAATTCTGCAAATGATGAGACCAACGTGTTTACACGTAGCAGTAACATCTACGGAAGAACCGCAATGTAATTTATAAATTACAACTTCTGCGACGCAGCATGATTGAGAAATTAATGCACTGTTATGCGACCCCGATAGCTAATTGTACAAAAGAGCGCATCCGTACTTTCTAATTACCGTCAATGATGCGTACGCGAAAACGGGACGTTTTTGCAACAGCATTACGTAATCTACAATAACATGTCGTTGACCACCAGATATTTAGTTTGTATTGTCAAAATATTTATTATTAACTATTTATTATTAAAATGTTAAATAATTTAATATAAGTATAAATAACATAAGTAAGTGTAATTAAATAATTTAATAATTTAATATAATTTAATAGAAATTTTTTATATAATTTGAAGATATGATTTATATAATAGTATGTCTCTTATCTATCTTTTCAGGAACTTTTGAGTTTGGAGTAATACATAATGAACTAATAAACTCCAGACTCTGATTCTTAGTTTGGAGTTCATGCAACGAATTGCGATTAATATCAAATTGAAACAGAATGACAATAGGTAACGTATTTCACAGTATAAAGAACATAAAAACACGTGTACCAGTTTTACAGCATACAGAACAATCGGTACCGCACTTTATTGACTTACGACTTACGGGTACCGTAAGTTCATAGCTCATAGAGCACGGTTCAACGCCCTATTTAAGGCTTTGATCGCGATACAGACGATTTCAAGTGGAATAATAAAGCCGAGGGAACGGCGAATGCGGCGGAATGCGGCGCGAATTACAAAAGCGCGTCGTCAGTTTAATCGCCGACTCGCGTGGGTCGTTAAATACCACCGGCGGGCTATTGTCTCATTTCTGTCATTTCTGACCAATTGGAGTCGCACACTTGCACTGTATACGCACATACACCCGTGTTTACGAATTATACGTGGCAATGAAATGTTTCATTTAAGTTGAAAAGTTCTCACATATCTTTCTAACGCGAACGAGTTGTTTAAATATAGCTGAAGTGCCATTCTCGAATAATTCGCAAAGTAAATCAATTTCAAAAGAAGTAGCCAAAAGTAAAAGCTGCTTTATCTAAAAATAAAAAATTGAGACCTATGAATTTGTTTGCTTCTTTTAATTTTAAACGGATTAAAACGAATTGAACGTTTGAAAATATGTATGTTGATATAATACAAATCCTACAGAATCCAAGAAGAAAGATGTCTAATTGCAAAAGAAATTAAATCCTCAAGTCCCTACTGTTGCAAATACAGTTATATCTAATAAATCAGTTATATTTAATAAAAATAGCGGACACTTTCTAAAATCAGCTAAAATTTTTTCTTCAGCTGCAAAATCAATTAAGTGCATCCTATTTTAATTAATAAACAAAAATTGTATTTTTCTTATGCCGTATTATATATACTTTTTTAACTAAATTAATAAATCTTTCTTATATCTTTCTTAAAAAGAAAGAGCTTATTGATAGTTAAAGTAAAAAACATACAAATTTATTCGCCCAAAAAATTTCAAGTGGAGACTTTTGCCAATAATGATTTTTGTCAATATTTAACAGATAAAATTTATAACAGAAAAATTCCCAATCGCATATGCATTCAAGTCTTCATCAACTTCTGTTGTTTAAAAAAAGGTAGCTCTACGTACCCAGATTAAAACATTGAGGGAGCAGAAAACGTGCCTGATGCACGTATATCCTGTGCGGCCCATGATTCGATCCTTCATCAGGTCCTTACTCCGAAAGGACTGGCAAAGATTCCTGGAAACGTAGAAATAGCAACGTGATCCCTTTAAACAAAGGCAGGAAACGGATAGAAAATGTATTCTTTGGCTACGAGAAAATTCTTAAGATTAGCACCGTATCGCGAATTGACGTGAGACAGCGATGCCTGTTCAAGGTTACGAAGCTATCTCGAGGATTGTTTACGGGTGTTAATTACACCGGCTCAATCAGCAACTTTCGTCTTCAGTTGTATAAACACACGGAGAACTAAAATCAAACTCTACGCTCTTCTTTACATCACAAAATATCATTATAATAATTATATATCACCGATAAAAAACCCACCGTGCACATCAGCGTGAGAGCCTTGTGATGCGCATCACGGATCATCAGGAAATACTACATCTACGTTCGAAGAGCAACCTGAGGTGGACAGGACGTGGGAGGAAGGGGAAGAAGCCGCGAGATGAGAGAGAGAAATGAAGTGGAGGAACGGGAGATGAGGAGTGCGAGGAGCAAGTGAAGGGGGAGGAGAACAAGAAGATCGATGTGCGACCTACGCGAGCGAAGATCCCGCTCTCGGTCGCACCGTTGAGGAAGATCTGTAGGATCGTCCCAGCTGACTGATTACAGGCCGACCCGACCAGACAATCTTTGTCAGACGAGGGCCCGTGCCGATGTGTCTGAGAACCGGCCGATACGATTGGCTCCGGTCTGGTCTCCTCTCTGAGCCTTCTAGGTCTGTTAACGGGACAACTGCGGTGAAGCCGTTCACCCATACGCGATCGCGTATCATGTAGATCACGATGGAAAGAGAAGTGGAAGTGACACTTACAGAGGATATTGCTCATCGAATGTCATTTTTCTCGTAGGCAATCGTATAATGGAGTAGCGAAAAAGAAAAAAAAGCATCTTCAAGGCGCTTCGAGATGTCCAGTCTCATTCTCCTGTTTTTCCCTTCACATCTTGTGCATTTGTGCCGCTGCTCTTCGTTAACCTTTTGCATCCAGATTGAGGTCTCTTACGTGCACACATACACACACATATGGAACAGGCAAAACGCTGAGGTGCAAAGGTGAAGGTAACTTTCGCCGAAAGGTCTCGTATATAAAAATCCGCTTTCCCAGAAATTCGCATTCAGGCGTATAGTAACCACATCACTTCCCACGGTGTACTATTTCCTTTTGATTCCAAAGATAAAATCAGATTGTCTGCAATAATTTTATACACGGAAAGAATGGTTTTACTGAATTATAAAAATTAGATCAGATAATAGTTCTGAAAATAATTATGTTAAACCACCAAAAATAATAATATAACTTAAAGAAAAATGTATTTGTATTAATTATAAAAGTGATACAAGTTTTTATGTAGAATTAATGTATATAATTGAATAAACTACTTTATAGTACATATAAGTTACCTTTATATTCGTACAACACAGATTATTTCAACAATATTGCAGAAATATTGCAATGTTCTAGCAATATTACAATAACATTACCGCAACGTTTGATGCAAACTTCGATCTGTGTTTGTGGATAATTATCATCTATATTTTTCTCTGAATAGGACGTTCAAGCATAATGATAATGCTGTAAAAAATTTTGACATCCTAATAATCTATCTTAAACATAATTATTCTGATTCATAATTATTTTCAAATCTGTATCTGATTACATTTTTTTTAATATTTCATCAAAATCATTCTTTCTGTGTCGACTGTTCCAAAATCATCAATGATCGTATATATCTTTTCAATATTATATTAATTTTTCATTTATAATTTTTTTCCATTTATAATTTATTTATTTTTTAATATGCCAACATAAACTACATTAAAGAATTAAAAACCTAGTTCGAGATCTATGTATAACATGTGCATCGGAAATTCAAATTACAACAACCAGTCCATGTGAGTTTCCTACGTTAAGTCATCGTGATAGCTATGCAAATAATATTGATCGAACAATATACGACGAAGGAAATCGTTGAATAAAGAACATCCTTACAATATTTCTCACATCAACGGACACTATCATCTATGATCTCACATTATTACAACGCTTTCGATCCAACAATTATTTTCTTTGGGTTGCTCGCGATATGTACGTTATAATTAGCATAATTAGTGGGATGTGATCAATTTCACTGAATTATTAAATTCTCTCTCTTGTACTCTTAGGAAGAGAACAAAATGAAAAAATAAAATTGTTTGAAACCGCATAATTACTAAAATAAGGATGTTTTTCTTGTAATTAAATCAAAGCGATAACAGTAAAAATCTTCATGTTTTTTTTCTTATAAAAAATTCTATTTCATAATTCTATTAAAATTTATTAAAACGTTAATGATAAATAGGTATCCATTAAACGAATTTAAATGTTTATTTGATGGAATGCACAATTATTCAATAGTAATTCAAAAGTATCAAACGATTTTTAATAATAATAACTTAATAATAATAACAAAAATAAAATAATCGTATACACTTGCACACCGGCGCAATTAATACGAATAATTTTCCAATATATTGGAAAATTATTCGTATTAATTGCGCCGGTGTGCAAGTGTATACGATTATTTTATTTTTGTTATTATTTGGAAAGTTCTGTCTAACGCAGTGATCTGTGCTATCGACATTTTTTAACGAAAAAAACATAGACACAGGTACTATGCTAAAGCATTCGCAAGTCAACGGAAAATCTCTTATCAGCTCATTGCATGATTAATGCGTTCTCTCCCTACTTGTCGCAATGAAGACCGTTATCAGAATTGAATAATATTGATTCGCCTTATCAAGAGTTACGCACGCTCTCACGCAGAACTCCACCCGCTGTGTTATATTCGTGCCACTTGTCGTGGACGATCTCCCGTTAAATAAGAACGCGCGAGGAAAAACAGCGCGAGCGAATAAAGCGAACGGAAGGGACGTAGATTTGATGAAAAAATAGAATGTTCGATCGCTGATGTGTATTTAACTCGTAAAAGACACTCGAGGACTTCACCTTGCTGCGGTCACGTCTTTTCCAGCCCTCGGCGGCATCACGCGTTAAGAACACGGTGACATTTATAGCGCATACTGGAAGGTGCGGAAGAAAGAAAATCCCCACCGTGCGTTTCAGTATGAGTTTTATTTATACACTTCGATGTGTGTGCTCTTATTTTTATCTGAAGTGGCTTGTTACATTATCATAAAAATTCCAATATCCGTATGACATCAAGTTGCTTTATCATTATAATATTTTATGTTGACATTGTATAAAGTACTTCAAAACATAAAGAGTTCAGCCTTTTTTTTATTTTGAAGAAAAAAAAGTATGTAAGTAGAAAGAAAAGAGTATTTAATAATTGACACAACATTTAATGTATATAATTCACATTAAATACCAAGATTTAATCTCAACCGTATTTAGCGCCTCCTCAATTTATCCATGAAAAGAACAATTTTAATGAAACATCTAAAGATTTACCGAAGTATCTAAATACAGATAGTATAATAAATATTAATTAAACTAACAAAATAATTATATAGGACGCTCAAACATAATAAGCAATGATGCAAAAAGTTTTGACATTCTAACAATCAGCTTGAGCATCATAGATAATTATTTTGATGGTCATACAAAATAATTTTTAGATCTGTAAAGATTAAATTTTTACACATACTTTAGCAAAATTATTCCTTCTATGTTATTCACATAAGCAATTTAATTTATTATTATTATCTTATAATTATTTAAAAGAAAAAAAGAGATGTTTTAATTTGCATTAAAAGAGATCAATTTAAAAGAATTAATTGTTCCAAGCATTAATTATTATTTTCTTTAAATACAATTAAAAAATGTTTGAAGAGATGCATGTGTGCATATGTTGTATGCAGAGATTAATCAACACCGAGATCAATTTTCATGGACGAAATGGAAGACTGCGCGAAAATAATGTACATTTAGAGTGCGAAGGGGCGCACAAATGGTCCCCCTGCGTCGACTTCCTGCCAATTGCGGACAATTTGTGATCATCTATGATCACTCCCCACTCGCCGACACCCGTCGTCATCGCGTGAAACGCGTATGAACATGGTGCCTAAATGTAAAAGTTAATACGGCCCGTTTCTCTCTCTGCGGGGCCTAGCCGTCTCTTTCACCATTTTATGTGCCATACGATTGACGCATCCTACACGCTCATCTTCCCACATGATGTAATCGAGAGAAAAGAAACTCGCACGCGTATCTCACGTTACATATCAATCTTCCGTTATCAATCTTCCGGTAGTCGCATATATGTACAGAATGCACAATTGTTCTTTTTTGTCAAAAGTATCTCGCTAAGCTGTAATTGGCAGTTTTACATATTAATCCTTTGTTTCCGTCAAAAGTATTCCAAATTGCTACACAGAGAAAAAAAGTTTTGCTAAAGCATCCAAAAATTTAGCTAGACAAATGATTTGAATAATATAACATCTTATAGAGTCATATACGTGAGAACACAGCCTATAGAAATCAATGCCTTAAACTAGCTGGATCTTAAATGCTTATATGATGCTTTGTCAATTTATATACTATTATACGTATGTCCTTTAAAAAAGTGCGCGCCGAAATGATTTTTCGGTCTTGAAATGCATACTTTACTAGACTATTGCAGTAACAAATGATTTAGTTAAATACACACAGATGTGAAAATAATTTTGTTAGATCATCAATATATATAATTACTTAAGACATTCTAGTTGCTAGAATGTCAAAATTTTTTGCAGTATTACTTATCATGCTTAAATACAATTTTGATAGTTTAACAAAATTATTTTTAGGTATTTGTATCTAGCTAAATTTCTAAATACTTCAGCAAAACCGTATAAATTGATAAAACAGTCAAAACTTTTAAACTATTTCATTTTAACTTTACACATATTATTATTTTATCTTTATATTACATTAATTATAACACATAATATATAATATACATTATTAGGATTCATTAGTTATTTTGTATAAAATAATTGCATAAGTTAGAATGGTTACATGTTGAGAATGTGATTTGCAAAAACTATAATTATGTCATATTAGAGCGGGAAGAATATCGGACATAACGAGCTCGTTGAAGAGAGTTCTCGTGCAATGAAGTGAGCTATATAGTATCATACTTATTACGACGATCTTTAATTTCCTGCTGCAATCGACGAATAAAAGAATCACGATTACATAAAGATTACTGCAAAGTATTACGTATGATAAATAATCGCTAATCGTAAGATGATATGTCGAGGCATGCGTATCCTTTGTCATACAAAGCCGCGTACATATGAATTCAGTCAGTTTAATTCTTCTCGACCCTTCTCACACATACGTGATCAGCTTTTTAAACACGATATTAGGAAAGCCTTATTTTGACCACAAATCCGTCATTGAAATTCTTGCGTCGTGCTTCGAGCGTTTGCATGTTGTTCTTTTTTAAAAATAATATTCTCCTAAATATACTATAAAAAATACAAATATATGCACTTTAGAAAATACATATATTACATACAATTACATATATTTTTCATAATTAAAAATTAATAAATTATTAAAAAAAGATACAATACAAAGTTTTACTTAAATTCTATATATATTTAATAAATAATTTAGTGCACTACAAATAACACTCATTAATATACAAATTTTTACATTTAAGAAAAATAAAATGTTAAAAGATCATTATACAATGTTATTTAAATTTTTATTGAAAGTTATTACAATATTGAAAATAATCACATTGCAGATGGGTTTATACTTAAGGACTTAAGGATCGAATAAGATGTTTTCAAATGAATAGAAGTCGCAATTTTGTGCTCAAAAATTATAATTTCAAATTTATAATTTCAAATGTTCATTCGAAAATCCAAGTTTTATTTCACGATTGATAATTTTCAACGTGTTATGATAAACGTGTTATGATGTGATGATTAATAGAAAGCGAGCAGATGGTATTATAAAATTGTTAGAGCAATTTAAGATTGGAATGCATACATTTTCTCAACAATGTATGAGGAAAAGCAATAAACCGAGAAGAAATGATATCTTCGCAAGGAAAGCACCTATTCATTGTTCTATTAAATGTTGGCGCATGGGAAGAGAAATCGACAAGCGACCTGTTCGCACGATCGATTTCCTGGCACTCGGGATAACCGCTGTTATCAGCATATTTTCTGGCTTAAACACGGCCGGAAAAATGCTTGCGATTTAAAATAGAAAACTGGTAAAAGAAAGCGATGTCCCAATTTTTTTAGATAGAGAAAATTGTAAGACAATAAAACTTTCTCTCCATTGTGTCGAATGAAGGAAATGAATCCCATTCTTGTAACTACTGTGAAGTATCGCATTCAATTATTGTCGTAGATAAATTGTCTAATTTAAGTAATTTTTGCATAAAATATCATAAAGAGTCACGTACGTCAGTAAACTCGCATAATAGTCGCGGTCGTCATTTCGAGACAATTCGCTGAAAACATATTAATTCTTTTCGTCGAGGTCTAAATCATCTTGTCGAGACTGATAAGGCCATGAGAGACACACGACAATATTAATCCGACTATTAACATGATCATCTTTTAACATGATAAAGCAACGGAGAGGAGACACATTCAAATGTGACCTTCAATAGTAATATTTCAAAATAGTTCTAATTCATGCACAATCATATGCTTTGTACATTATAATATATATTAGATTTAAAAAAATATATATATAAATATAGATTTAAAAATATATATTAGAAAATATCTCGTATCTGTTTAGAATTACTAATCACTTTCTGTATTCACCCAAATAAAATTTCCAAAACTTTTATAATCTAAAAGATTTTTTTCGCAAAGATTACAAAAACCGTTTTTCAAGTTTTTCAAATTTTATTATTGTGTATTTTTTCATTATTGTATTTATAATTATATTAAAATTAAAAATAAAACTATATATTAAAAACAAATTTCTCAAATTAATTTAAAAAATATAATTTTTTGTCTATTTTGTCTCTAAAATCTTTTTATTTAATCGTTAATTAGAGATGAAAGATGCTTCGATATTTTAACAAAAAAAAAATTAAGTAGTCCCAATTAGGTCAAAGAATTCATAGTACAATCTGTTGAACATCTGTCGGTTTCAAATACTCGTTTACTATGAGAGAAGAATGAAATATAGAGAAAAAATTGCGCATTTGTGATTCTATTTTCATTGAAATGTAAAAAAAAACGTCATTGTCGATGATATTAGTAATAGAATGTCTGAACATTATCTAATCTATGCATGCAACATTTCTTGTGATGTAATCGCGTAATTTTATTCGTGTGTGCATTTACGCACCACACAGTTATCGTCAATTCGTTCGCGAATGCGACGCCAATCATATCCAGATTGTGTGTTTGTAAGCATAAATACGTGAGTTTTATATGCTGAATCCGTGAAATATTTCATTTTGCCGGTCAAGAGACAAATGAATTACATTCGCTTTATTAAGCGAACTTTATATTTGAAAATCTGGTTGTCGCTATCATGACGGAATATACTACACGGAAAGAAATAAAGAATGATTTTGCTAAATAATTAAAAAATTTAACTAGATACAGATTTAAAAAAAAAGAATTTTGTTAAATTATTAAATATACTAAAATCTGTAAAATGTTAAAATATGATGAATAATGCTGCAAAAAAGTTTGACATTTTAAGAGGTTTGAATGCCTTATATTAGTATATAATTATTTTTTCTAAGAAAATTATTTTGAAATTAGCTAAATTTTTAAACTTTTTTAACAAATTTATTCTTTTTATATATAAAGTTTAATAACGTATTATTATTTCAATATAAAAACCCGGTAAATTATTATGACTTGAAATCTTTAGAGCTTAGAGTATATCTTCTCTTTGAGCACATTTACTGCCAACTTTTATTCACTATTTCTTCTAACTTTTTAATCCTGACATCATCGCAGAATCATTTTTAATTATCCGTATTTATTTAAACCAAATTTGCATTGGTATATAAAAAAATCTTAAACGATAAAGATCTTCTGAAAACATAAAGTTTACGAAAATATGGCATTTAAAAAGCAGAAATTTAAAACGATGTGAGAAAAGCAGATGTTCCATCAAACATGCAAGTTTTCAGAACGTAGTACACTGATCACTCACAGATGGAATAAAGATGATCATTCGTATTGTTCTCTGTAGAGAGCCGTCGCGAACTTTTCGCCACCAAGTGGCTCACAAAAGTTCATGGAAAGCGCTGTCAAAGGTCGATTCGCGTAGCTTCGCGGCAGCTTTCGAGTTCGCGGATTGACTGCGCGGTACCAGTCTGCAGCAACATCCGTTCTCCGTTCCTCCAAGCTGGTACCAGGATCGCCATCTGACGGTTTGTGATACAGATGACAAGACGAATTATCTGTTAAGATCCGTAATTACAAAAATAAAGGAAATAAACGAGATGTTTTATAATAAATGTGTAAAATTGAAATGAATTGTTGACGAAGTCTTGAATAATAAATGCGATTAGAGATAGTTATTTAAATAACAATTTAATGGCCAAATATTAGAATATTATAAACGTTTTATCAGCAATATAACAAAATTAAGAACTTTATTATTTAAGCGTGAAACAAAATCCCAACACGATCTAATATACTCGCTAATATAGTCGCTGCAACAACAAAAATATGATTAGTGTAACAATCTATTAATCTTAGCAGAAAAAGAATTAGTCAACGCAGTTAAAATAGAGCTATGACAGAGTTAAAATGTGTCCTAATAATAGAATTAGTTAATGTTGTTGCTGCCAAAGCTCAATTTATTAATTGCTAAAATTTAGGTGCTGCATGAAAGATATTCTCTGCTAGAATAAAATGATAACCGGCAGCGTCCCGGAAACAATTGCGAATAGAATTCGATTACGCGGCTAAGAGAATAACTGCTTACTTAGCCACTCATGTTAAGCATGCTTTTAATTTTAACTAATAAAGTTGGATGTCGGCAGCAAATGTTTCTTCAATAGTCAACTTTTATCAATAACAACAAAGTTTGAACCAGTAATTGATATTTAGCTGATATTATTAAATCCTTTTTTTTGCGTGTAATTACAATTATTTTAGCAGCTACAGCTATGTTAGCTGTATTAATAGTTATACAATCAATATGACAGCTAATAAAAAAATAAAAAAATGCAGCCACAGCTATTTTGGCTGTATTGATACAGTCACTGATACAGTTGTACAGTCACTGTAATAGCTCCTAAAAAAGTCATCTATTTTGCTTGTAAAAGTACATATCTGATAACTTTACAGTCAAAATAGCTGTAATCTAGCATGTACGTCACAGCAAATGGTAAAATAAACTATCAGTTTTAGATTAAATTTGGCATGTATCAGCAATGTTCAAGCGGATCCATTGTGTTCATTTAAGCGGCTCTAAAATTATTACTTAAGGATCTGTATAGTTCTGTAATCAGCGTACTAATGAATTTGCATCCACATTAGTATAATTATATGTACGTTATAAATTGTAATAAATTAAATTATAATAATTAATTATATGTATCTTATAAATTGTATACTTATATATAAAAATAATAATAAATAACAATAAATTGTATACTTATATTGTATAATTACTTATATTGTATAATTATACAATTTATAAGGTACATATAATTAATCACATTGTACATATCGTAGTTATGTGTAGTTATGTACGTTAAATAGTAATAAGTTATAATGATTAATTTAATCTTTAAATTTGATGTAATTTTAATAAGACAAAAATTTCGAATATTACAAGTTTAATTCCAGTTGAAAAAAAATTATTTTTTTATTGTATTTTTAAATATTTTTAAGTAATTTTTAAGTTAAAACTTAAACTTTTATTAAATATTAATTTACGTATGAAAACATTTATTAATTTGTTTATTTTTTTCAGATCATTGTTGTAATATAATTATGACCTCTTTACAGTAAAATAATTATTGAATGGCTGTGACATCATCTTTAAAACCTAAAATTGTTATCCATTTTTGCTGTTGTACAACTTTGTCACAATATCATAATGATGTTTGGCAGTAACTGTCATAGACAAAAATATTGCGGTTTAAACTGAGCCAATGTTATCGCAGATCTTTTAAAACTTCATGTGTAACTTGGGACATTTCTACATTACATTAATCATGAAATACCTTAGTTACGCAAATTGTTGTATTTATTAAGATTATAAATATTGCAATAATAAAAAATAATATTTTTAGTCACATTTACTAATTATAAAAATTTAGTTTTTACTAATTGTAAAATAATAAAAGAAATATCTTTTAATAATATATAAATCTAAATTAAGTTTTACTCGACACTGTACTACAATTAATGCCAAGATATGTAATGCAATATATAATGATATAATGATATAATTTCGAATTTAAAAATAATATTTCGATTAAAAAGCTTTAAAAACAATATTATATCACAAAAATTAAATTACTTATAAAACTAACGATAGAACAATACATTCATGTAAGACTATATAAAATTATGTGTTATAATAACATAACAAAGAATCAACCATAAAATAAAAACCGATCTAACAAAAAATTAAATAAATGTAATTTATCAAACACAAACACATTAAAAAAAAAACATTTTCTTATTTCTGTTTTTTCAAACTTTGAGACGATTCTTCCATAGACTCCAGCCATAATTGAAGTTCTTTGGTAGGCTCCGGCCTACGTATTTCCGGCTCGATGTCGGCAATTATTTCCTCTACCGGAATCTTTAATCCAGTTACAGTTTGTCTGCTTAATGCAATGGCGCGAATAAAATTGTCCGTGAGACTGATAAACTGGTTTTCTATATAAAAGTGTTTATCTTCCCAATAAATGAGCTGCAATAATGCAAATTGGATTGATCGCAAAACCGAAAAAGAAAAAGAAGAAGCAAAATGTATTGATCATACCTTCGTCGTGACCTTGTATGGTGTAAAGATAGGAATCGCACGGCGATATCGTATAGTGGATGCGCCTTGAACAGCAATGCCGCCTCTTTTTGAGATAACGTCGTAAATTCCTAATCTGTCATAGAAATAAAAACGCGCAAAATCCAACTCACGTAAATATCGCGCGTTATTCATGTGCTTCAAGACCAAGTCAACATCCTGAGTGGTGCAAATTCCTAAAACAACAGAAATCCATTTGCTATTATTTATTACTATCATGACAGAGCAGATTAAATTTTCTTATAATCAAAGAGCTTCAAGGTTTGATTCCTCTGGGAAAAAATGTTATATTAT